AATTAGTTACATATCCCCAAGTGCCTAAAAAATTTGGATATAGATTTTTCTCCTCTAGTTGAATATCAACCATGTCTTCGTAATTAATCAACTTTTAAGCTTCAAAAGAAATGTACTTTGAAACTATCAGTTGAAGTAAAAGTGCCACACCATGGGGGAATAAAAGTCAGAGAAAGCCTATGGGCAATGTATGTACCATAACATCGCCTAGAAAAAAATAAAGGATCTCAGACTAAGCCTCCTTAGATTTTTAGAATACCAATTTTTTCATCTTTAAAATGAGCATAATAATATTTTCCTCGAAGGAGTTTCTAGGAGATTAAAAATATGCATAACATATTAAACATGGTGCTTGGTGTATACTTAGTAATCAATAATCTCAATTTATCTTTCCTTACCTACCTTACCATATCTCACAGAAAAAGAGGGAGGCCAACTAATGGAATTCATTCAATACGTTTAGTTAGACTTAAACTTCTTAAGAAGCCAATTTAGAAAATCAAGTGAAGTAAAAATAAACTAAATGCAAAATATTTTAGTCTTACATAGAAAAACTTAAGAATGAAATGGACCCTTCTATCTAAGGAAATGCTGTAGAACTAAAGTGCCCTGGGCATATAACACAACACACATTATGTAATATACACATCTAGTCTTGATAACTTTTCCTGAATGTTTCAGGTACAGGTTTGCCAGTAACTAGTAGTAAAAAAAAGTCTTAGGACATCCTTCCCTGAGAAGTGTGCAGATTCTGTTCTATAAGCAAAGAAGTTAACAGGTTGATGGTACAGCAAGCATTTATTATTCTCAGAGCAAAAAGAAGGGAGTCAATGTACACTGCAAGATAAAGTAGAAATTCAAATTTCTACAGTGGGGAAAATAATTTTGTGACCTAATTATATGTTTGCAGATTTGTCAGCTGTCCTCAGAGGGTGGTGAAAGAGCCTTGTTCAGTATCTTCCAAAGCACCATGTTGCATGAGGAATGGGAAAAAGAGACAAAGTTTTATGGTGATGTTCTTTGCCTTTCTAAATTTCCTACTGCTTTTAAGTTTCTGCTGTAACATATGAAAGATGCAGAATCTCACAGCTTGACTTGTTAGGGCCAAACTCTGTAAATGATGTCCTGAAAATACTTTTGTCTATGTTTCAGTTTCCAGGAGCTTTAAAATGAAGCCTAAAATCAGTATACATCCAGAAGATATCAACCTTACTGTACAAACTAGGGTCCTCATAGCCTAGCCATGGGCTTCAATTTTAGGCTTTAAAATTGTCATCCGACAGTGGGATATTATGGCAGCTCATCCTGAGAAAATAATGTCATTATAGGGAGGAAAATAATCAAAAGGTCACTCTAATGCTAATACATAAAGACCCTTCACCCCTCTATGCCCCACCCCTCCCCGGCCTGTCAAGCATTCTCTATCCTTATGCCAAAAAGGGAGACTTATTGAAGTAAATGGGAAGGATGAAGGATGTAGTAGAAGGAAACGATAGTCACCCTGAATCAACAGTTAGACTCTTCTCATTTGTTATGATGATTAATTGCATTTCTGCTGAAGTTACTAAGATAATCAATCCTAGGTCCAGTTGTTTAGAGGAGCACAAGAACTGGTTAGTGAGGTAATGTCTGCATTAAGAGCACAGAGGAAAGGCCATAATTTCTCTTTAAAAACATCTAGTACGATATGTATGCAAATGATATGAAATGGCAAAGCCACGTGTTTATTTCGCTGGTTACCTCCAAGTAATAAACCAAATAGGAAAACACAAGCAATTTAGTCATCTGACTCAACTAATTAGCATTCAACCAATACAGAAGACCTGATCGTCCTGGGTCAGTCTAGTATGATCAATGGTTTTCTAGGACCAAATATTTAAACTACCTTAAAACACATACATGCAATTTATTAACCTTTCAAAACATGCAAATATTCACAATCTCATTTCTTATGCTTTAAGAATATTATAATCTTAAAATATTTAGGTTGTTAAGTGCTTATAACTATAAGCTGTACTTTAAGTCACTTGCTGCTTAAAGTCTACCGGTAGACTCTGCCACTCACTTTAAAGAAAAACTTAAGAAATGGAAGAAAGGGGCAAGGATAAAGGCCACATGTCCATGGGAACTATTACCATATTAACGCACTGCATTTCCATTTACACTTCCATCACCAGAGCTAATTGTTAGCTACTTAAGGAAGAGGTTATGCCTTAATTAACAATGCTTGGTAAATGCATTCTGGTTGCACTTCTTAAGCATGTTCAAAATTCACAAGTCTTATTTCACAGTAGGGGTTCCAATTCATTCCATGCTTTTATGTCATAACACCTCTGATCAAGGAAGAAAGTATTTAAAAGACCCCGAATAATTCGTTTCCAGAACTAAAGCCAACAAAAAGCATAATTAATGAGTAAATTAGTCATTTATCTCCAAAGCCTTAACATTCATGCACATTTTAAATGAAGGGGATAGAAACACATTTGGCATGTAATATTTCTAACTCTGATATTTTTAAATACTACACAAGCCCAAGAGATTAGTGACAACATTTTCACGTCTGTAGCACAGAGTTCTTATAACTCAATCCTTTCCATACCCCACCCTATCTATGTCTTGGGACTGTTGGAGAATCAAATTTAATCAGGTGCTTTGCAGAACATAAAATCCAATCGTTGCTCCTCTGTTTTCCCTTTCGTCCCTGCTTATTCTCTGCACAGTCGCATTACCCACTCCCACTTTCCGTCTGAACCATGTCTCCCTCTTCTCCTCTCCAACCTTATGATGCTTTCACCTTTCCCTCCATTTCTCTCTCTTCTCTGGCAGAAGGTTAAAAACAAAAACAACAAGAAGCAGTGGGTGAGAGCTCCGGACATAATTTATCAAAACTGGTCTAAATGTCCCAGCTGCAGTCTTACTCCTTCTTCACATGTTATTTCAAAAACCAAAGAGGTTGGAAAGGAAAAGACAAAACTCTCAGGGAAGTATTTTTCAGTTGCCAGTTTTAAACCAAATTTTTATCTTTTTTGTTTAAAGAAGTAATAAATGGCATAGGGCCACTTGAGAAAAAACAAAATTAATAAATAGAGAAAACTCTTTTGGTTAATATTTCCTTAATTTGATTTTTACTATAAGAAAGCCTGAGGCAGCTGCTAAAACAATAACAGTAATAATAGCAGCAACTTACCCTTATTAATTACTCTGTAACAGTCAGTAACACTTTACATATATTTATTTAAACCTTACAACAATCCCATTAGGTAAATATTATAAAAGATGAAACAGGGGAACCAAGAATTTCCTCTCTCAAAGCCAGTAAACAGAACAAAATCAGACAATATGGTTCTAGAATCTGACTTCCTAAGAATCGTACCAGATAGCCACATCTGTTTGGGTTCCATGTATGTAAGCTGTGCATTTACTTAAGCCTCTGTTCTACAGTTGCAAAGAAACAAACTTTTCTGGAGCTGAGATGCACAGACATCCCTTCAAAATAAATATTTTCTCTTGTTAAATGTTCCCACCAGTAGACTAAGTTTTACTGTAAAGAATGAGAAGAAGAGTCATGAGCTAAACAGAAACGCCAAAGTGAAGTCAGAGTTCAAAGTGACATTTTCCCTACACAAGGCACTGTGGAATTCCCCAGGTCCAGCAGCATCCCTTAGCTTCAACCAGAACTCTCCTGGAACCCACTGGCCCACCTACCATTAAAGACTTTACTGCCTCACTGTTTACAATAGCAAAGACCTGGAACCAACCCAAATGCCCATCGATGACAGACAAGGGAACTGTGACTCATATACATCATGGAATACTATGCAGCCATAAAAACGATGTGTTCCTGTCCTTTGTAGGAACATGGATGAATCTGGAAACCATCATTCTCAGCAAACTGACACAAGAACAGAAAATCAAACATCGCATGTTCTCACTCATAGGCAGGTGTTAAACAATGAGAATACATGGACATAGGAAGGGGAGTATCACACACTGGGGTCTGTTGAGGGGGGCTAGGGGAGGGACAGTAGTGGGTGGGAAGGTTGGGGTGGGATAACATGGGGAGAAATGCCAGATATAGCTGACAGAGGGATGGAGGTAGCAAGCCACGCTGCCACGTATGTACCTATGCAACAATCCTGCATGATCTGCACATGTACCCCAGAACCTACAGTACAATTTAAAAAAAAAAAAAAAAAGAGTTTACTGCCTCCTGCCTCACTATTGGCCATCAAGTCTGTCACACAAGTTCATGCTAATGGGGGAAATTTAAAGGTGAGAACTGCCTTCCTCTTCTCAATACCTCCCTAATAGCATTTTCTCCTGTCCACAAATTTTAACAGTGTCCTCTAGAGATAGTGCCTGAGTACTTATCTAACCAGGAGGAATGATTCAGTTGGAGGAATATTCAGACCGGGTAGGAAGACTGAAGAATGTAGGACAAAAGACCATGGGACTTTGCCCACCCTTCATGTAAAGAGAACAGTTAAAGCTTCTTCCTAGTGTTTCCAGTTACCTGCTGTTTGCTTTGGTGCCGGTAACAACATCAAGAAAAACGTAGGCAGTTTCTCAATAATACACTGTATTATTTTGCATACCATATAGAGAGAATACATTGTAAGAGTAGAGCACTTTGTCAATCCCCTCGTTTAGAATAATTACTATACCAAGAAAGTTTTAAATATGACCTAATTTCCATTTGCTTTCTACCCACACTATCACCCACTTCACTTAAAACAGCAACAACAAAATGTAAACCAAAAGATCAAGTCAGCTCTCCTGAAAAAGACAAATCTGTTCTGAAAGCTTTTGCTCTAGCCAACTGCCAATTTGGCAACAAGCCAAGCAAATTTGGGAAAATAAAAAAATAATAATAAACATAAGACAATCATAAACAGTGCGGAAAAAAACACTCTTTGAATAATGTCAGTTACATAAAAAAATTTAATCGTGTGGAAAAGCATAACTTTTTCCCAAAGAAAGAAAGAAGTGCCAGTACTTACAGTGTCATGAGACTTATCCTTGACATCATAGACTGTTAGTTTTATTTTGGTCTCCTCATAGATGGGATACTCAGATGGGAATGTGACACCAGTCAAAAACAGTGGGTCCCTTGTTCCCTGCAACAGCACAAGCAGACAACGTGGATTCAATAAGGCAGCAACTGCAGTTTGCAGCATGCAAGTGACACATGAGAAAGCAGAAAGTGTGCCTGAGTCTGTTTTTCTAGGAAATAGTTCTATTAGAAGAGATCTCAATTGTCAAATGCTGTCCATGGGCAACAACATGGCCCAGGGCCTTAAAGCAGCGATACAACTGCTGACGGTAAATGAACCTGCATCTTTGTCAGAGTTGTTTGCAAAAGTTTATTTTCATCATCTACAGAACCCTTCTTTAGGGTTAGTCAGTTCATTTAAAACACATTTCATAGATATAAGTTGTAATTTGTGCAAACAATCTAAGATATTGACTGATCAAATAAAAATGAAGCCATTTTCTCATAAAGAACCATGTGGTAATCTTATGCTTCCATTTATTTCCTTTTTGTAATGATTCAATTGAAAGTCATGCTCTGATAGTGTCCATTTGTTTTTAGATGTTCAGCTTTGATTTTTTTTTTCCCTCAGAATGACTGGAAAAACTAATGAAAGAAACTCTAAATATGATGGATTTGGGGCTATAAAATTACCAGCTCAGGATATTTCACTGCCTCAGAATTCATTTTTAGAGCTGACATCCAGCATTAAATTTTATACATATATATTGCTGAATGTCATGGGGATGTTTGCTAGAGTTCTGTAAACCAATTGTCTGTGGGAATTTCTGGAAGCCCAAGGAACTCATTCATTCATTCTTTCATTCAACAAATGGCACTGCATCAGGCACTTTGGAAAAGGCAGTGAATGAAACAACCAAAAACAGCAAAACATGTTCAAATATAAAATGTTAAAATGTACCAAAATCAGACTGTTTCTTATAGTTAAGATGGTGAATTTTATAATATGTGTATTTTATCACAATAAAATAAAAAAATAAGAAAAACTCAAAAATGAGTGAATACATAAATTAATTTTGGCAGTATTTTTAAAATAACAATTTTTAACTTCATATAAAATGAATAACTTACGATTTTAGTTAAGATGTCTTTCTATGAATAAGATTATTTTTGTTAATTCAGCTATAGCATTAGCTATATATTATACCGACACTGGAACCTAAAATTTCCAAAGGGCATATTCAGGGCTACATGCAGTATCTGGGTCATTCCCATTATAGAAATGACTCCAGTTCAGTCTGAATCATTTATTCCACGACTGCATCAAAGCAGACAGTCAGCCCTGAGCCAGACAGGTCTGGGGCAGGCTAGTTAGGTTCTTACAGAGAAATTCCTCATCAAAACATATGCAGCTCCCATGTCTAAGAAAAACAAGCAAATCTTAAGAAGTTTAGAGTATACTTTCTCCAGCCCCAGATGTTTAAATAAGTCTCTCTCATTCACTAAGGTTGTGAAATGTGTGATCAGAACAAAATAATCAAAAGAGAAATACTTCCTCTTTTGAATCTGATCCAACACAATAACAAGTTTCTTCCAGACACATTTTGAATGTTATATTACTAACAGTAAATGTAAATAGGAAGTCTCCCATCTGATGAGTATTACTTGTCCCTTTTGCCCAAAAACAGTTTGTCAAGTTAATCATCTACATTTCCTTGAAAAACATTGTATATTGAAAGACACACACAAATAGCAGAAAATATAGTTTCCACAGACTAAAGAATACAGGGAAAAAAACACTTAATGTGTTTAAATTTTCTCTGGGTACTCTACAACTTTCCTTTTTTGCCCTCAAAATAAATATTCATTTCAATTAATTTGAAGTCTATAAGTTGTTTTTCTTTATCCTATGCTTTATAAGAGAATTTAAAGTGGGAACTTTTTTTCTCTCTCTTTGGGTGAAAAATAAGCTATTTTTATGAAAAGAAAAAAAAAAGATGCAATTCTTTCGGCATTTGTTCATTCTAGTAAATTACCAAGGCATGCTTGGTAATAATCTCAGGTATGTGCTCCTTAATGACAGAGGGTGGTAGTGTAGCATTGCTACGGACTCAGCTGTTCATTCAAATCCAGAGATGGACAGGGGAAAGGGAGAGTGAGAGAGAGAAGAGAGAGATGAGAGAGACAGACACACACACACACACACAGACACACACACACACAGAGATTAATGCAGGGACACAGTATCTCACCTCCACAATTTCAGTGCTGGAGTATCTTGTCAGACTCTGCTCCGCGGGGTGGATTACTGAGATCTGCACCAGTGTATTCAATTTACGATCACGGACAGGAGCCACGAGATCCTTGCATGCTGGCAACCAACGGCAGAGGAGAGAGAAAGAAAAGAAACTAACACCATATCTCAGGGAAAACTTCTGCGCTGGGCTAAAAGTAAACTTAGCTACAGCACTGAAGGAAATCTCCTGGGGCTCAGGCTGGTTTTACAGAGGAAGTCCCTTGGAAGTACCTTACAGAAATAGGAAGTCACGTGCTCTGGAGCTGAATTGAGAGTTCATTTCCACTGACCACATTTGCAGCTCATGCAAGTCATGACTGGTCTGAGATCCCAGCTCTAATGCGTGACTGTGCACACATGGCTCAGAAACTTCAGTGACTTTAATTAGTCATTAAACCGTGGGCTTTAACTCACACTCCTTGAGGATGTAAAAGTTGATTTGGGCCATATCCCGGAAACTTCGGTGTTCCTTACTGACATTAGTTGGATTAGTTCAAATGTTTGAATGCATACTTGGTCCTTACCTAGGTATTTGCTAAAACTGGCCTCCCACAGTAATGCACACCAACAGAAAAACGGAGAGCAGTTTCCCCACCACAACAGCACACAAGCAGGGGAAGAGGAAGCAGAGGGAGGATTTTAAAGCCCTGGGTCTGAAATGCAAATTAAGCCTGGAGGAGATGGGTTAATTCTTGCCCAGGAGCCAAGAAAGTTACGAACTTTCTCTTGAGACACTAGGCTCATATTCAGGCTCTCACCACTATACCATATTTACCTGAATACTTTCCCCTCTCACATATTATTCCCCCAATTTGGGGAAGAAAAATCCAGAAAAATATTCCCTTTAAGCAAGTCTGAATCTACTTTCCTCTGTATCCCTACCAACCCAGTCCCCCGCTATTAAATAGTAATTTTACTCCCCTCAGCTGACTTGCTGAGATGTAAAGTGCCCTCATTAGAGGTGGTGCAAATTAAATTCAGCTGGTGAGTTGCTGCAGGCTGGAGCTATGAGTGGGGGAAGTAGCCCTGGGTCCTTGATTTTCATGCGGAGGGCATGCAGGGTTCTATACCATCCCTACCCCACTTCTCAGACCATAACAGAAAGGGAGAGGAAGATGAGGTATTTAACATATGTTGTCGCACTGTCAGAGTTTGCAAGATCTTCACCATTGGTACAAAGGTAATATGGCCTAAATCTGAAACTTGAAAGCAAAGGAAATCATAGATACAATTATCACCTTTCAACTGCTTACAGATAACCTCTTTTGGAAGTACAAGGAGACAGAAAAAGCTGGAACTTGGGAATGAACAGTCTAGTTCAAACAGCTAGGCAATACTGGGAAAATTACTTAACTGCTTAATTGCTTGCCAGACTTTGAAATCCTGCTGCTCCTGTGTGGCATTTTGTCATATTTTTCCCCCTTATATAAACCATGGCCTTGGATAACAGAGGAGAGCTTATGAAAGCATGTATGGAAAAAACATAACACCTACAAGGTATTTAACCCTTACTGTTTTTGAGGCATTCTGCTAATTCTCTCTCTATTCCTAAAAATAATGCTTTGAATTATTTCAGTTTTACAAAGAACTAGAACTAGAGGCTTATGCTCTCATTTAGATGACTAGAATTCTCTGATAGCTTTTACATCCTGCCCCACCGGCTCCATTTCTCTTGTTGGCATACTGACCTTCTCTCCCACACAATGCCACCTCCCTTTGGAATACCAGCTGCCACACCACTATTCTTTATTACTCAGCCCAAGAAACCTACAGTTTTAAAAAATACTGATGCCAGGTTTCAATAATGTCAACATATCACCGGAAGGAAAGAAAAAGCTAGATTTAGATTTTCACTGTTCTTTGGTGGTGATTTTGATCATTTCCTCTACTTGCAATATGAATGTGTTTAATTTTATTGCTCATAAAATGACACTGTTGGGTTTCTGTCCACAGTAAACAGCTCTTTTTCATTTCCTGATATTGACACATACCTGTCTGTATTTTAAAGCTGAGGCCACTGTGTTTCAAATGCAGGCATCTTGCCCACTTTCTGCCTGTAACCCCATCTTTTATCTTGTGAGCTTATGACACCTTTGCTCAAAATAAGTCACTTCTTTTCAGACTTGATTGTGGGCTGTGGTTATTCCCCAGAAGTGAGCAGCTGTTCACCATTTTAACAGAGAAACTCTCAAGACTCGTTCCCCATAAAAACAGAAAATTTCTATTACACTGAAATGTTCCGTCCAACCCAATTTGCACATCCCCTAATACTGATAAAAATAATGATGATACTTTGTATTATATTCCATATCTTAAAACAGTAAGGTTACATCTTGACAGGAAAACAATACTAATTATATCTTGGCCTGTGCTTTTTTCTCTCTACAGCTCAGAAAATTTACTGTTCCCTAAGTCTTATGCAGCATGACATCCTGGAGAGGCCCTGAGATCAGGCAGAATTCCTAAGCTGTACTCCCAGATTTACTGCTTTCTAGCTCTGTGGCACTGAGTAAGTCACAAACTCTGACACTCAATTGCCTCATCTACTTATTTCTCAGGGTGGAAGTGAGAAAGAAATTGTTCCTTTTTGTAAATGAACATTTCTGTGCCAAAAAAAAAAGTTTACTAATATCATCATAGTAATATGTATCAATATTAATATCAACATTTACCAATATCTGGTGTTTTATTATGGTATAAACTTCTTTTTATTAACTCAGTCATACTCAGCTTTTTAAAGCTGTTACCAGGTCCAATATTTCTTCATAAGTACTAAATTAGTACATGAGTCATTGAATTTCATAAGGTGAAACCTATTCACAATGTGGATTTGTACAGACTGAATCTGTACCACTAGACGGCTGATAAACAATGAGTGATTGGACTGTTTCATGGAGATATTACTCATATGATCACTGTAAAATCTAATCTGCATGGGAATTATTTAGCAGCCAATAGAGAATCCTGAAAAATCTGTTTTCAGGGAAAAAAAAAAAAAAGTGGCTGAGATCAGGAGTTCGATACCAGCCTGGCCAAGATGGCCAAACCCCATCTATACTAAAAATATAAAAAATCTGTTGGGCGTGGCGGCACATGCCTGTAGTCCCAGGTACTGAGGAGGCTAAGGCATGAGAATCATTTGAACCCCAGGAGGTGGAGGTTGCAGTGAACTCCAGTGATATTGCACCACTGCACTTCAGCCTGGGTGACAGAATGAGACTCTGTCTCATAAATAACTAAACAAATAAATAGCAAGTTATATCTGTCTTCCAGCTATACTTACCACTGCTCATTAACCAAATATAATCTTACTCTAGAAGTGGCCTGAATCTGTGGCCTTCCTCAGCTTGAAAGACTAAAGAATGCAATGCTTTGGGATTTTGCTTCCATTTCGTTTGGTTTATTCAATTCTACCCACTTGCATCTAATGGTCAGTAACAAACGCTATTGCCATCATTCATTCATCACTAGATTTTTACTTTTATTTCTGCCTTTTTAATGGCTTTGTTTAGTATTAAATTGTTAAAAAGTATCTCAAAAGAATTTAAATAGGCAGGAATAAGTGGGGATTCTGACGTGATTGCATCCAGTGTACTTTTTACTGAAATGAAGAAAAATAATATAGAAATAATAAATTTTAAAAAACTATAATTTGTAACTTGTCTTTAGAAAAAAATAAAGAGCTGTGCATAACTATATTTTTTTCTGGTTAATTTTGCTATAGTAACTAGTAACATGAGGGTTCACATTGTACTATGAGTGACTGTTAGTGAGATGCCTACAGGCGTCCCCAGCTCATATTTGTACAGGAGCCAGGCAGCTTTCACTCTACTAGAAGGAAAGCCTCAGTGGAAACACATGAGAAAAATAAATGGAAGGGACCAGATGCAGTGGCTCAGACCTGTAATCCCAGCGCTTTGGGAGGCTGAGGCAGGCAGATCGCTTGAGGTCAGGAGTTTGAGACCAGCCTGGCCAACATGGCGAAAACCCATCCCTACTAAAAATACAAAAATTAGCTGGGCATGGTGGTGGGTGTAATCCCAGCTGCTTGGGAGGCTGAGGCAGAAGCATCGCTTGAACCCAGGAGGTCGAGGTTGCAGTGAAGTGAAATCGCGTCTTTGCGCTACAGCCTGGGCGACAGAGGGAGACTCTGTCTCAAAATATGGCAACAAAGATGAAACTCCATCTCAATAAATAAGTAAATGAATAAATAAACGGAAACTCATTATCTCCAGGGAGGACTAGGCACTGAGCAAACTGGAAAGCTTACACTGTGTCAAAAGATGGAACCTCTATAAAAAGTCATTGTGTCCTTGATTTTAGGATTTCTTCAAAGCTTGAAATCTGCGGTCACTGTGCAGGCCACACTGGAAGAGCCACACAAAATACATCTGTTGCTATATTTGGCCAGAAGTTTTTCTGAGGAATAGGAATTTCTAAACTCTGGTCTGGATGTTTATAGCTGCTATCTAGCCTTTAGGAAGAGGGCACAGATTATTTTCTACTCCAGCAGTTCTCATACTGGAAAGTCCAGAGCTAAAAGGCAGGGCTCTTCAGGATTTTTGTGAAGTCAAAGATTCTGTCTACACCAAAATACTGCTTTTTATAAAGCATCAGTTGCTATTTCCTGTAGCCATTATTTGGAAATCAGGTAAAGGCTATTGAGTCCATGATCCTTTCTATCATTCCAACCAATTTTGGCTGGAAGCCTAAAAATACCTCTTGACTCACATCAGAGAGCTCAGTCTCAGCAATAATCAATTTGAAGTGGAACACAACTGTTCATTCAGCAACACAACCCAAATTCAAGTCGTTGTGAGGCATGCATTATACAAGGTGGGTGTCAATAAGCAGGAGCCTGCCCCAGGCTTTCAGAATAGTGGTGGTGTGAACCACTGAGGCACTGTGAATTCATGGTCAAACCCGAGTGACCATCTCTTTCCCCCTAAGAAAATTTTCTTCTGTGAAGCAAGGTCTTTTTTCTTGCCTAATTCTTATTTCATCTCTCTTCTTGCCATTCAGTGTTAATGGAATCTAACAAAATGTATCCTCTTTTCTCCAGAACAGAGCAGTAG